TAAAAAAAAAAAAACCATTGTGGTATGTTTTTCTTTATGGAGGCGTTTGGTAATTCAGTTTGTCAGTCATAGAGATGTACCTAGATGATCGAGGAGTTCCTCATCTGTCCGTCTCTTAGGGATAAGAGCTGTTTCTTGTGGCTTATGGGGGTGTGTGCTTTATTGTGGGATTTGTGAGCGAAAGGAATAACAGCGTGAAACCCACATCGGTTGGTGAAGGGTACGAAACATTCTTTATAAGGCTGTGGAAACTTTTCTCTAGCAGACGCGTTTTAAAAACCTCGAGGGGAAGCCCGAAAGAAAAAGCCCAACGAGGACAATATTTGCTAATGGTGGGCTTGGGCCGTTACAGATGATATCAAAGCTAGACATCGAACAGTGTGCCAGCAAGGATGTTATGCCCCAAAGGGAGGTTAGCAGACGCGTTTTAAAAACCTCGAGGGGAAGCCCGAAAGAAAAAGCCCAACGAGGACAATATTTGCTAATGGTGGGCTTGGGCCGTTACAGATGATATCAAAGCTAGACATCGAACAGTGTGCCAGCAAGGATGTTATGCCCCAAAGGGAGGTTAGCAGACGCGTTTTAAAAACCTCGAGGGGAAGCCCGAAAGAAAAAGCCCAACGAGGACAATATTTGCTAATGGTGGGCTTGGGCCGTTACAGATGATATCAAAGCTAGACATCGAACAGTGTGCCAGCAAGGATGTTATGCCCCAAAGGGAGGTTAGCAGACGCGTTTTAAAAACCTCGAGGGGAAGCCCGAAAGAAAAAGCCCAACGAGGACAATATTTGCTAATGGTGGGCTTGGGCCGTTACAGATGATATCAAAGCTAGACATCGAACAGTGTGCCAGCAAGGATGTTATGCCCCAAAGGGAGGTTAGCAGACGCGTTTTAAAAACCTCGAGGGGAAGCCCGAAAGAAAAAGCCCAACGAGGACAATATTTGCTAATGGTGGGCTTGGGCCGTTACAGATGATATCAAAGCTAGACATCGAACAGTGTGCCAGCAAGGATGTTATGCCCCAAAGGGAGGTTAGCAGACGCGTTTTAAAAACCTCGAGGGGAAGCCCGAAAGAAAAAGCCCAACGAGGACAATATTTGCTAATGGTGGGCTTGGGCCGTTACAGATGATATCAAAGCTAGACATCGAACAGTGTGCCAGCAAGGATGTTATGCCCCAAAGGGAGGTGGATTGTGAGATTCCACCTCGGTTGGAGAGGGGAACGAAACATTATTTATAAGGGTGTGGAAACCTCTCCTATCAGACGCGTTTAAAAACCTTGAGGTAAAGCTGGAAAGGGAGGTTGTTTCTTCTTTTTCAAAAAAATTCCATTCTCTATGAGATTATGTTTTTTTTTTTAAAATTAAAAAGAAAAGGCTAAAGGTTAACAAATTGTTTCTGGACAGTGTTGAATTGTTTCAGATTGAAGCAGCAACCAAATATTGGAGAGTAGACACATTGAAGCAACAATATTGTTCTATCACTGCAAAGTATAAGGTTATTCTACTTCTTACTTTATTACTTTTTTTTGTGTGTCAATCTAATAATCTTGATTTTTCATTTTTGCTGTAACAATATATTAATGTCTATTTTTCATTTTGTAAGCATGTAACAAACAATATATTGAAGTCTCCAAGAAAAGAAATTAATGTCTATTTGCAGTCATTGATTGAGGAGTTGTGGGATAGTAATATGCATGTAACTTACGGATAGGGATGGAGTACTAAAGTTTATCAAGCATGTCCCATTTTTAAGGATCGGAATTTGATTTCAAGTCTTGCCCGAAAATCTTTGCTAAGAAGAAAATTAAGTACGGAAGGGTAGGTTGCAAAACCAACCTTTCTCGTTGATCGGTAGAATAAACATGAGTGACTACTAAATGTATGATTAAGATCGGTAGAATGATGGTTTGAAAATCCTTTAAAATGAAAGGGAAAACGTCTCAACATGATGGGACGATGGGAAGTCAAAACCTAGACCTCCATCAGTTTTAATGGATGAGGACAGATCTTACAAGTAAATGGGCTAAACATTCCAGTGTTGAGTAAGCATTCATCCAAACCAGACAAGAAAATTAAGCCTATGACTAATTGGACTAATAAGGGTAATATTTTGAACTTTCATATTGATCTAATCTTTTGTCAAGACATAAAGTTGGATATCATGCATGTTAAAGAAAAACATTAAATGTGACAACTTTCTCGAGACATTGTTGAACGTCGATGGGAAAATAAGGATACAATGAACTCCAATTTGAATCGCGAAGATTTGAATGTACAAATGGATTCACACTTGCAAAAGCATGGAACTAAAATTGTCAAACCACGATCCTATTTTTCTATTTAAAATCAGGTTGTCATTGCATTCATGGCATGTTTATTATGTGTGGAAAAATTCTTTTGAAACATTTCATGAACAATGTCGTGAACTTTTGTTCATAAGAAATTCATTTAAACTACAATGTTAAAAAAAAAAAGCGAAAGTAGAAATAATAGAAATTTAAATAAAATAATGCAAATACTCTGATCTAATCTAAGGGCTACTCCACTAAATATGAATGTAACTATCCTAGCTTCGCTTTCATGGTCTTCACAGCAACACTTTAATATGTATAAGGGTGTCTTAACTTTACTTAGAAAAGACGTAGAATGTGACTCGAGTATTTAAAAATACTCAGTAACCTCTTCATAAAAACGTCGTAGCCTTGGGATCAGTCAGTTTGAGCAAGGTTGGATGTGCAATATTTCTCTACACAGCTTATGCACGCGCACATAGATCCACCAAGCTATATATGTACTCCTTGACTTGAGTAGTCAACAAACATAAATATTGTAAGGTATGCATTTCGCGCTAATCATAATGGGGGAGCATTTAATGCATGTGACTTACAAAGTGCATTAGGTCTCTTAACATCAAAACATGACATACTTATAATGCAAGTCATACCTTCCTTCTTTTTTTGACATAGTGTTCATACGAGACATACATAAATAATACTTGTCATATATTTCATAATTAAAATACATAACTGTAATAACCCGAAAATAATAAATAATAAATAAATAAAAAAGACAGCAAGCTGCTGCCATGGAGAAAGGAAGAATGGACAGGTGGATTGAAGGGAAAAGAAAGAAAAGAGAGGAAGATGGAGGTGTGGGATGAAGAAGGGTGGTTTTATTTTGTGTTAGTGTTATGGATGGTGGTGGTGGTTGGCGTTGGCAAGGCCGACGAGGAAGCACCAAATAATATCGAAGAAACAGAGGAAGAGGGAAATAGAAAACAGAGGATGTTATAATCCGTGTTTTCCGGCAAAACCTTAAGGTTCTTTGGCGTTTGTTGTGACAACGTGCAAACATGAGGATGGGGAGACGATTGTGAAGGCTTTTTAGCCATTGAAGCTCTGAACTAAGCTGATTTAAGCGGTTGTCGCAAAGGTAACGAAAAACCCATATCACCGAACCTTTAAATCTCGATATCTTGGTTCGTATTGTATAATAAGTTATGAAATAGGGCTTGTTAGAAACGTAATAAGGAGATCTATAAATTTGTAGAAGGAATCAGGATGAAATTCGAATCGTAGAAGGAGGATATGGCTTCAGGATATAGTAGGTATTAACAGAAAAGATGGGAAAATTTCAGAAAACGCAAGGAAGAAGAAGAAGCGCGTGCACTATACGCAGGCGCGTGAGGGCCGCGACTGGGCGTGCTCCTGGCGCGTGGGACAGACACACCGAGGATGTGAGGGCGCGTGAAGCATCATTTCGGTTCCCGGTTTGTCCCGTTCGATTTGTTTTGACCTGTTCTACCTAGATTGACCTATACTTACCTTGAAAATAGTGAAATATAGGTCTAATTGGAAGGAATTGTGTTGAAATACCCTATTAAATGTACAATCAAGAGAGAAAGGGATTCGAAACCAGGTAAGTAGCGTATCGATCTATGAACTAGTTCTTAACTTGTTTTACAACATGTGAGTATGTCGTTTACCTGATTAAGAGCTTAGTATGTTATGATGAGCTTTGATGATATTGAGTGTTTATTGTATATTGTGACTGCTTGCCTGTGATGTAAGCATGATATAAATGATTGTCAGAATGTTCTATGTGTTGAACATGATACAGGTATGAAAGCATGCAGTAACTGTGAGTATGTTATGCATGTTAATGGAAAGGTTATGACTCTAGATATGCTTATTAGTTGTTGAGCTATGACTTATTTATATGAGTATGATAGTCTACTAATTCCCGCGGAGTTCCTGGCCAACGCGATGTGTGCTAAGTCAGGGAGCATGAGTACTCCTGACCGTTGGTATATGAGATAAACAGGCCGCCAGAGCAATTAGTAGACGGGCCGTATTTGACTGAGAGCGAGTCTTACATATGAGTCCGAAAATTCTAGATAAACATATCGAAGGAGAGTCAGTAACCTAGCTGGAGGTAGCTGAGATACCTCATTAACGAACAGATGACCCTAGTAAGAGAACTAGGAGTCAGTGATGAATAAAGCTTAAAAACACCTGGAAAGATTAGTTATGAACCCGTGAATGATAAGCTAGCTACTTACTGAGTAATCTAATTACTCATCAAAATTATTATAACTTTTCTTTCCAGATTTAGATGATGCAGGCCAACCGAGGACGAGACCAGCGGGCTAGAGA